AATGGATCTATTATTTAGAAATGCATAGATAAGGTTGCATAGCTCTATTGAAATGCCAATATTGGCTAATTTGGAGTATAGAAGATATATATTTACACTATCATAAGCTGCCGAAATATCAAGGAATAAACCAACAGTATAATTATTTGATGCCAAGCCTATTTGGACTTGGGTGATTAAGTAAGATATTGATTCTGTGCAGCCTTTTCCTCGTCTAAATCCTAGTTGTAAGGGATGGAAGATTTTCTTGTTTTCCAAATACCATTCTACTCTATTTTTGATAAGTGATTCTAGAAGTTTTCCAACGCAGGATGTTAAAGCTATAGGTCTATAATTATTTGGACATGATTTATCTTTCCCAGATTTTACAAATGGCAAGATTAAAGATTGTTTCCATTGTTGGGGAATAGATCCACTTTTGAGACAGTTATTGTAGAATTGTAACAGCCAAACGGCACCCAAGTTAGGTAAGTTTTTTACCATTGAGTAGGAAATATTATCTAAGCCAGAAGAAGAATCTTTTTTAATTGATAATGTATACTTAAATTCATTATATATAAAGGCAGGTTCTTTGTCATTAGGAATTTTGATAGCAACAGCAGGGGAAGCAGAATTCGGTGTTATGATTATATCATTAGCTAGTAGCGAAGATGGCATAAGACTGGAAGTATTAGTTTTCTGACCTGCAACTGAATTTACTTTATTCCATATCGTTTTTAAGGATGAATCGCGATTTAGTGTTCCGCAAAACTCCCTGAAGCTATTTTTCCTTTTTGTTTTCAAAAGTTTTCTAGACCATGCAACAAGTTTTTTGACCGTAATATAGTTTTCTACAGTTGGGATTTCTTTAAAATTTTTAATGGCCGTTACTCTTTTTTTAATTATGTCATCACATGAATTATCCCACCATGGTATCTGGTATTTGTTTTTACTATTGCCTTTGAAATTTGGAATTGTGGTGTCAGCCACTGAATTAAGAGATTCAATAAAATCTTCATAACTATCACTACTAAATGAAGAAAAGATTACATCAAGGTTGCGATGATAAGAGGACCAATCAGCTTTATGGAAATTTCTCTTTTTAGTGGGCAATGGAATGGTACATGGACCCATACCAATTTTACACATTGTGGGGAAGTGATCACTTGATCCATGATCAGAAATAACCTCCCAGGTGCATTTAGATGCTATTTCAGAAGATATAAGGGATACATCAACTACAGAATTACTTCCTCCAGGAGGAGAAGTACGAGTAGGAGAGCCGTCATTGAGGAATATTAAATCAAGATCATCTAAAGCTTCGAAAATATTTTTACCATTGAAGCTGTTAGAGCTACTCCCCCATACAGTATGGTTGCAATTTAGATCACCCATTATTAATAAGGGTTTATTTATTTTTTGGATAAATTTTATAAAATTCCTTTTAGTAATTAGGTTATCTGCAGGACAATATATATTAATCAAATTTAGATTATAATGAGGTAAGAATAAGAGTTGGGTTTGGATATTTTGATCAAAGCAATTATTAACAGTTGTCTGGAAGAAGTCTATACTGTTTCTGATTAGTATAGCAATTCCGCCATATCCATCAAATCTATCATCTCTAAGTATTTGATAACCTCTACATTTTAAGGTATATTTATCAGTGAGCCATGTTTCGTTAAGTAATATAATATCAGGATTGTGTTCCATAATTAGAACTTTAAGATTGTCAACATTCACATTGTATGATCTAATATTCCATTGAATAATGGTTAATGGAGTAATGATAACCAGACAAAATATAAATGTTTGGTTGGATTAGAGATCCTCCTGATCGGAGTAATCCATTCCACCAACATTATCATGTGATACAGGGTTATTACTAATTTGGGAAGAAGGTTCTTGGGAACCTAAAATATTTGTTGTTGAAACATTACTATTACTAACAGAAGAGTGCGTATTATTAATTATGTTACCAATAAATGTCATAACGAGCTCCCTGTGGGATTGAGATAAGACAGATATAGCCTGAACAATATCAGATTCACGTTTTTTCCCCAAATCTCTTCTATTGACGTTGGATGTAGAAGGCTTTGGTTCTGGAATTCTACCATTAGGATTTATGAGGCAGTCGTCGAGTGCTTTTTTATCGAAACTTCTTTCTTCAGGTCTTCTACGTTTAATAGTCGATGATCGAGTTATTTGACTGTAGGTATTATGTCTCTGTGAAGTATTAATGAGAGCTGTTCTTCTTTCGTGAATGTTAATAGAATTGGTATTTAGAGAATCGTTATTTAAAGTAGGGAAGTCATTTATATTACGCACGTACATAGTATTAATTTTTCTTGGAGTCATCTGACTTGCTTCATAATATGAGATATTTGAAAATGACATTAATTCTTTGATGTCTTTTTGTCTGCTGTATTCAGGACATTTTTTGTCTTTAGAAGAGTGTTCATTATTTTTACAATGGATACAAAACTTATTACAAGTTTCTGTACCGATTTCGTGGATTTTTCCGCAAATTTTGCATTTTGCATTGCTGCGGCATTGCTTAATATTATGACCATATAAGAGGCATTGTTGGCATTGAAGAACAGGGCTTATATAAGGAGTTACTTTCATTGGTAGGCCATATATAGTTATTTCTTTTGGTATAATTTTTCCAGAGAATGTTACACAAATCGTTCCAGTTGGAATATAATTTGGTTCCTGTCCTTCTTCAACTACTCGTCTGTTAAGTCTTTTAACATTTAGGAGCTTGCAAAAAGCCAGTTGAGTGTTTATGGCATCTTGTATTTCGTCATCGGTAAGAGATTTTAGAACATGTCTGACAATACCTTTGCAGGACACATTATGTGAAGGGATAAATACTTCGTAACCAACTGAATCCCAGTCCTTATCATTAATAAATTTATTTGCAGCACTGTAATTCAAAAAGGTGGCTCCAATGCGATTTTTTCCTTTGCGGGTAATCTTAATAATTTCTTTAAGTTTAAGGTTGAACACAGTTTTGGCTATGCTAAGGATATGAAGGTTACCAATATTCTTGTCTTTTCCTTGTACATAGACTTTAAACGGGCCTACGTCGGTATTTGAGTACAAGACTTTTTGTTTTGTTAGGTGATTGGGATTGGGGATATCAGGCGGTTCTCCAGGCGGCTGCCCAGGCGGCTTATCAACCGCCATTTTGGGCTGGCGCTGTCTTGCTTCTTAGGTTGTGGGCGGTTACTTTCGGTAGGAACTGGGAAACTATCAACTGCAACGGACTCGGAAGGGGTAAAATGAAGCTAATTGAACAAGAGTTCACTAAAGCTTTTTGTAATTAAGCAGAAAATTACGAAAATTACTAACAAACGATGTGATTACTACGTCTCGACTAAGAAACCTTAAAATAAATCGACGTAAAAGTCAAAACTAAAGGTAAGACTATGTGGTGCTATGATGTCGCCACAAGGGTGTAATCGGTTTATTTTTAATCCAAAGTTCCGGGGACAGAAGTTTACTCGAAAACCATTCAAGATATAAATGTCAAATTTTGATAATAAAACAATGGTATTTTCTTTGGTCGTACAAAATTCCTCGAATTTATTCTTAAAATATAAGCGTATACCCATTTTTGGAATAAGATGCTTTATGCTTTCTTCATTTAGTAACTGAAAGGAATTAACATCAATGCCCTCATCTAAAAATAAAAAGTTTCTTGTTGAGCTGGTTTTACAGAAGCGAATTGGATAACGTTCTGATTTGACCATTTCAAAGCACATTTAAATACTTTTCAAAATTTTATTTTTTAAGAAACCCCCCTTTTTCATAAATTTTAATTTAAAAACTTTCTCTTGGAAATATTAAATGTTTGATACTGAATGTGCTCCGGTGCAGTTTAAAAAATCCTAGACTGTATGGCTAATCCTCAATCCGAAATAAAAGCATTTATGCATTATGCATTTCCCACCTTTTTTACTAATGTATAAATCAAAATGGCCACAGGTTCTATATTTAGCTCTCTGGTAATCTATGCATAAATATATTATATCGAATTATTTACCTACAAGACTATTAACTAGGTCCGGAAACCCCCATTCTCTTAATAATGCACAATACTGGCACGTCCCCATATTCAATATACCCCCCAGATAGAAACCACGCACTTCGCGACCTGTGGCTGGAACTCAACTCAACGCTGTGCAAGACGATATGGTCGAAGATCGCTCAATAATTCAAGCCAGAAACGACTTCGGCAAATTCTTCGCCATTAATTGTAACGGTTTGGTACATTTATTGTTTACCTGTTTTACTGCGGTTGTTAGAAAAATATTACTATTTTGCAGATTTAGTTTGCTAGTTTTACGGTGGTAGTTATAAAAATGTTACTAGTAAAGGTCTAACTGCGGTGGTAATAAAAATTACTGATTCAGTAAGAAAGGTTTACTGTGATGGTAATACAAATAATAGTAATTCTATTTCTAACTGGAGCAGTAAAAAAATATTACTGCCACGGTAAGAATTTGGAATGTAAAACGTTTACAGTTCTAGTAATACATCTAATAGTTGTTAGACAAACTAACAGTAGCAGTAAAAAGTTTTACAGCCACAGTAAAGTTTTTAGTAGTAACGCTTTCTTACTGAAGCGTTTTTCTCAGTGTAGAATCAAAATTTCTGATATAATATTTGTCTCTAATTTACAAACCAATGACTTTGGGCTATAGGTATTACATATATTTTTGTACTCGTCTATTATTGAAGAATTTAAAAATGAAGAGAACTTTATGTTGTCCTATTTAAAAAAAATCACGAGGCCATGTAAACGTCATTAGTACATCCAATTTTAGCGTAAGACGTACAGTTGAAAATAAAAATGGACCTGTGAAACCATTTTTTTTAAATACTATATGAAGACAGCGATATATCGAATTTAGTCCAACCTATACATCCTCACTGTATATCTCTAATCTAAATTATTTATTTTCGACCAAAAAACAAATATTTATTACATATTAAATTGTTTTTAATTTCAGTTACACTCCGGATATCGAACATCTAGTGTTTCCGATGAGGAAAAGGAATTCTCAGCAAGTGGCTCCGATTAATCCGCCGCCCTCGAAAACGCGATCCCGTTTGGCTGAGATGTTCGCTTTGAGTAGACATTTACAGCAGAAGTCGACGGATAAGGATTCGAAGAGGAGTTCAATAGTAAGCGTAAGTGGCAATCAATTATTTTTGTACATATAACTCTTATCTAGCCAAATATCAAGGAATAGTTGTTTTTTATTTGATCGACTGAATAAAAATATTATAGGAAAGAAAAATATAATATTTGGTGATATATAGGGTGTTTGGATGATTTGCAATCAATCACTATCCACTCAGTCATTAGATACATTAAATACGGTTAAAAACCTTCGTTCTAACATTAAACGAAACATTTCATTGGCCAATTCAGTATTTTCATGAGTTACAGTTCTTAAAAAAGACAACAAAAATGATGTTAAATGTTGAATTAAAAACCCATTAGTATTATATGTAACTTTGCTAAGATACTTATTTTTAATTGATAGAGCAGAATGTATCTTAGAGCAAAATGATGCGGAACCTTTTACTTAAATGTTTTTGCCTTACTGATTGATTCTTTTGTTTCCTAAATAAAACTAATTACTAGCAGTAAAAATCGAACAACTATATAATACAGCATCTTAGATGTGTTGACTTTTATTATTATTGTTTAATTGAATCGTTACATACTTTAAATCAATTTATAATCAATTAAAAAAAATCTCAATTAAAACATCGAAGAAACCGGAAAATTAAACATTTGACAATAAAATTTTCTCTAGCTTCACCATGGCAACCCAAGTATTGTTTCGGAATTGTTCTCTCGAATAAAATAGTCAACGCGTCTACACTCAAGTGCACCTACGAGTGACAGATAGTGATACAGTGACAACTAACAGCAATCTTAAGATAGCATATGTGTTGTCTGATTGGAAATTCAATTCATGGCTTGTATTTAGTTTCGTTGGATTATATCGGCTATTATTATTTTTATAGCCGACATCGATTAGTTTTGATCTAATAAAAGCACTTCTTCGGTTTCCGGTCGAAGCTCTATTCGCTCTAGAATTAACAAGTAAATGTGGGTCCCTTATATAATGAGCTTTTCGCGGTTTCACCTTAATTTGGCATGCACTAAGATGTGAATGGCTTAATCTTTGAAACGAGCATATAACTACTGGAAGATAAACCAGGGCACTGTTGTTCCACTATTCATTGGTAAATAACCTATTGGAATAATTATACATAATTAAAACATTACATAACTTTTAACTTGTGCTTCGCAATCTCTGGAGACATCCTCATCATTTATGAATAACTGAAAATATTCACTAAAATACATATAATAAAACCTGTGATATCTATTGCAGACATATACACAATATTCACAAAAATAGTTTATTAAAACTACTTTTGATATACATATTATATAACTGAATTTAAGTTCACACAAAATATTGCTGGCAGTTTCTGACACGTTCCAGGTCTTACAAATATCACATGAAACGACACTCTATTTATAAATAGGTAATGAAATTCGTAATCGATTGGCGCACCTTACATTTTTAACAGTCAGAAAGCAAAAAAAGGAAATAAAAACTTCGTATATAGAAAGTTAATTTAAAAAGGGAGACAGTGGCATCCATAAAGTAAAAGAACATATAATTTTATAACTTTTTCGCCATTTATTGACAAAACGACAAAAAATCGGTCCTTTAGCAGTTAATGAAAAAACATTAATATTTAATTGTTTTAAATCATTTACAGACAAACATTTATGTAAAAGTGTTGATGACACAGTGGAATTAGTTAGTAGTACGCTTGGTGTTGGGAAATCTACGATTTACAGAGTTGTTAAAGAAGATAAATGTGGCGAGTTTCAAACAGCACGTAAAGTTCAAGGAAAACCAAAATTTCAATTAGAAAATCTTTTGAAAGAAACACTTCGAAGGAAAGTGCATGCGTTCTTCTTTAGAAAAGAATTTCCGACAATAGACAAAGTTCTTACCACGGTTCGAGATGATAAGGATTACCCTGAAATGAGTCGAAGCACACTATGGAAACTTTTAAAAGAAATAGGTTTTCTATGGAAAAAGCATTCCAGAAAGTCTATTTTAATAGAAAGAAGCGATATTGTAGTATGGAGAAGAAATTAATTAAGGACTATAAAAGAAATGAGAAATCAAAGAAGAAATATATTTTATTTAGATAAAATATGGATCAACGAGGGACATAAACCAAATAAATTTTGGCAAGATGAAACTGTTACAAGTCGAAGACAGGCTTTTTTAAATAATTTATCTACTGGTTTAAATCCACCATCAGGAAAGGGGCGCAGACTAATAATAGTACACATCGGTAGTTCAAACGGTTTTGTTAAAGGTGGTTTATTGACTTTTGAATCTACTAGTACCGGTGACTACCATGAGGACATGAATGCTGATGTCTTAAAAGAGTGGTTCGAACAAATTATAGATCTTCTTCCTCAGAACTGTATAATAGTAATGGATAATGCAAGTTATCACTCGAGACTTAGAGAAAAAATGCCCACAACCAAGAGGTTAAAAAAAGATTTACAGAATTGGCTAAATTCAAAGAATATTAAGTTCCATCCTGGTTCTGTGAGAAAAGAACTGTATCATTTGTGTTCCCTTCATAAAGAGAAATTAAAAATATATGAAATTGCAAAAAATCGTGGGATGACGGTGGTTAGATCACCACCATATCATTGCGAAGTAAACCCGATTGAACTGATATGGGCACAGATATAGGGAGAAGTTTCAAGAAAAAGTAATTCTTTTAAAATGAGTGATGTTAAACAGTTGTTTTTGGAGGCTATAAATAATGTGAAGCCTGAAAACTGGGAAAAAGCAGTAAATCATACGATTAAAGAAGAAGAGAAAATGTGGAAGTTGGACAATATTACTGATGAAATGGTCGAGCCACTCATTGTAAATATTGGTTACGACAGATCATCTTCTGATTTCGATTCTGATTTGGATTTGTAGGTAAAAAGTAGTTTTTATATTAAAATTATTATTTATGAACGTAACGTTGTTTAAAAGTCAAAGTTTAAACCCTTATACCTACATAACCCGTTTGACACAATGTTCTTAACATACCTTGTGGAAAAATAAAACATTTTAGAAAAAATTGCACTTTTTTACCTTCAGCTGTTTAGAAGTTATAAGCAGGTTAATTAGGTGAAAATATAAGTGTATACTCGAGGAATAACTTCAAAAAATATTTTAATTGTCTACTAAAAGAAGTGGTACGCCTATGGATTACGAACGCTTTATTATTTTAATACTCTCTCATACATAAAAATAGACTATAATATAATAATTATAATGAACCCACTATAATACGGTTTCATAATAATAGACAAGAATGTGTAGTAAAATGCTGATAGCTGTCATCTTTTCAAAATTTGTAGAGATTTTCGGAGCTTGTATTAAAAATACTCTAGATTCGTTTATTATTATTATTAGTTTTGTTGAATGATGGAACGTTCTGTATAATAAACTAATTACAGCCAAACAAATATCCAGCATAACCATAATCGGACCTGAAGGAAAATCGATTCATAATACTACCGAGAAGTTTGTAATGGAAATAGCTTTCTGATATTATAGAGCGGGAGTTCTGAATACATTGTTGGTGAAATTGACGACAATAGAATATGAACAAGAGCCTGGAGGCCTTATCTCATATCCGTCCCTTTAAGGTGCTCGATCATAACCGCAGACATTTATTTCGATAAAGAATGATTGGATAATTTTTCATAAGGTGACCAAAATAACTTTTTTTGTTACGTGTGAACTTGCAGGCAGAGCTGGACAGTAATAGAGTAAATTTATATTCAAAATTATACTTAGTTGTATTCAGGGGCGGTTTCTCCATTGGTTCATTTGTGTAGTGAACACCCAATTAAATTTCATAAAAACACATTATTTTATAATTACATAAATAACATAAAAATATAAATTTTATTTTAATATTTTTATTTTCATACGTGTTAATCTATATTTTTTGGTACATCATTGCTTTCTGGTTGATCGCGTCTCTGTGGCACAGAATACCTAAGTATACTGTGTCTGTGGCGCATTATGATGAGTGAGCCTAACATGAGTGAGATGATTTGGCGAATACATAAAGTTAAAAAGAGAAAACAACACGCCAACATATCCTTCAAACGTCAAAGGAACACATTAATTGGCGCGCCGCTCACAAACAAGGTTGTCAAACCAGTGTTGTCAGTCTAGTACAATTCACAATTGTACTAGATGTAGTACATTCTGCTTGAGGCAGTGTTCACGTGTAAAATATATTGTGTTCCTTGTTTGGGTTCGTTATCTATAAAAATCCCCTTTTTTTCTTTTCAATAAATTAGATGTCACTACAAATAGAATTCGAAAAATTTGGTACATTTAAGGAATCTGGTACATTTTTTAGACAAATCTGGTATATAACAACACTACCAAATCAAGTAAACTGTCATTCCGTCTACTTGGGGTTCGGTTATATAGCGCGAATTTAGAGATGAGTAGTAATAACGTAAATGTACCTACTTAACACTTACAGATTTGCCAATATCCATCTCTAAATTCCAGTGTGACACCGGAATCACTTGGAACTTTAGAGACGTTGTAACCGAAAACTGAAAATGGTAGGTAAAGTTTTATATAATATTTTTTACACAAAAATCAATGTCAAGCTTTCTACATAACCTTATATATATAATTAAAAATAATCTCAAATCATGAACAAAAGTCAGTTTACTTACTAATAATGTTTATAGGTGGTTTTCAATGTATTAAAAACAAAACAAATATCACACTAACTATATTTATTTATAATAGTTATAGTGCTTGAAAATAGTATGATGTTGATAATAACTACATTTAATACAAACTCAAATTATAAAAAAAAACAGCGATATTGGCTCTTGTACAAAGTTTTGGACCAAACTTACAAAAATGATAAAAGTATTGGAAAAAGTGAACACCCATTTCAAATTACGCCGAGCCGCCACTGGTTGTATTCAATTTTACTCAAAGTACTCACTAATTGGTACTTGTGAGTATTTTCGTCCCGATGGGAGTCAATACTCAAAAAAATTCGAGTACTTTACATTTTAGAGTATT